CAAGGTACTGTAAATTACTCTAAAAGTTTCYTTAAAAATTCTCATATACCAGCCACTATCCCATTTAATCAATAAAAGCGTACATAGTTTTATACTTATTAACAGGATTAAATAAGTCAGACGTATTGTKACAAGAAATGCTTTATTGTCTAAAAATTTGATTTTAGTGCAATTGAAAGTAGTGTTGCTCATAATTTAAAAGATTCTAATAGTGTAAAGCTGTCATGSTGAAAGAGGTGGGATGGAACAGCCAAGTGCAGATGCACATGTAAGAGCGATGCTGAACAATAAACCACATTCATATTTATTTTCTGTRGAAGGTGCATAGCAGTTTGGGTAAACTAATCCTTCAGTATTACCAGCTGTGTACGATAAACCATGTTAAAGGATTTTTATTTATGGGAATGTTGTGATTTTTTTTATATCTACAGTTTTAACYTATTTTCATTTTAAAGACTTAAGAACCATAACTCTGTACTTTTAATTTTGTATTCAGTATGGGGAGYTAATCCCAGAATGGGGCTTTTTGGATGCAAAATCTGAATGCTTGTGTAGTAACAACAGCTGTCCCCTCACCATGTGGTGTCTTCCATTGCTTTACTGTAGAGATGAATTTTGGCCCAGTGTTTCAGTAATATTGGACACACATGGTTTTAGGTGACAAAGCAGTATGTTTATKCATTCATTTGACTCTCGCAGTTACAGTTGGCTACAGATTAGAACAGGGAGAATACATTCACACCATGACCACCCTCGTAGCTGCTTGTAGTACTTGGATCACAGTAGGCGCTGTTGCATCTAAAGACACAATTAACTGTTGCTGAGGAATTGCAAATTCACAAAAGCTCTTTTACAGTTTTTGCTGTTGAGAGTGGATTTCCTAAAAGCTTTTTCAAAGATTTTCCAAATTCATAAATGTWTTAGATCTTCACATTCTAAAATTACTGTCAGCTTGAAATAAGATTAAGAGGTTGATATTTTAATGTGGCTAATGAATTCTTGTMCTGCGAATTAGCTGTGTAATTAACTACAGATCTACAGAATGATTGTAGTTTTATCCATTATTTAGGAAGATTACCTTAAGAGTTGTGTAATATTTACAAGTGGTTAGTAAACTTATGAGCACAAATCAAAGCTTACAAAAAAAAGTCTGAAAATAAAACTTAGCAGAAAGCTTCCGGCATCTGTATATCACTGAAAAGATGATCTTGATTTCCGTATGTAATTGCTTAGATATGCTTTGGATATGGTGAGAGAGAATAGCTGTGAAAGTAGTTGTGAATGCATTTAAAAAAAAAAAAAAAAAACACAAACAAAAAGACCCCTAAGTTTTAGTACAAATTAAATAGAAAATTACAGTAAACTGCGTATTAAGGATAATTTTGAAATACAAAATTTGACTGATTTTTAAACAAAGGCTTTTAACCAGAAGTCTTCAGAAGAACTCATTATTTAAGTTACAGTGATAAAAAATTATAAAAGTAGAACATAAAGCACTGCAAATCCTTCTTTATAAAAATCCTTGAGAAATATTTTAGTATCAAATATCTACATGAAGTATAGTATAATAAAGGTATAGAGTGTATTAACTTGTTTAAAATAGTAAAATTAATAAGGTTATTGTCCAGTGTGGAGATTTTTCTGTGTATTTGTGATTTCTTCTGTGGGCCAGAGAGTAATTGTATAATGCATGCAATGAATGTGCGAGATCTCTTACATACACACAGACATTATTTAAGTGTCTTGTGTTTGAATCATCAGAGATAATTAATTTTATTCTTGTATCAAAAACTATGAATGTTTGAGTCTTTCAGCATTGAATAAAGGACTACATGGATCCAAACCAGGACGATTGATAAAATCCTTGCTACTATTGGCTATTATTTACTGTCTTTTAAGTGGCAGGTTGTATTTATGCCAATTTATCTGCTTCAGGGAACACTCTTGATAGCAGAACAAAGTGAATAAAAGTAGTTTGCTTTGCAAATGAATGCAAATGGTGAAGCCTTTCGGGAAGCCCTTTAACAGGAGCAATGCACTTTGATTATGAGTGAAGCTGCCATTTGGACATGGTGAAAAGAGCACGCTTGAACCATTGATTGGGGGAGACAGTAAAAAGTCAGGAAGGGCCCCGTTAAGCTTGCAGTGCGGCAGGCGGATGTCAGTGTGGTTAGAGCACAGTGGGAGAATGACAGGCAGGATTAGTGTCAGGGAGAAGCTTTGCTGTAGTTGTGGAGATGGTCCCTGGGGTCACTCACCTCTGACTGTTGTTCTGTGCTGATGGCTCTGTAATGCAAACCGCTTGATATGTGCCTGTTCATTATCGGAAATGGTGATTAGAAGAGGTATGTCATAAAGAATTCCTTAAAAATAAATAAAATGRCAAACTACTGATGGTAACAAAGATTTGGCTCTGCAGTCGTTGCYGAAGATGCTGCAAATGTCAAAGACGGTTACTGCGTCTTGCCTTTTGAGGCAACTGCGATTTCATGCCTTAAACTGCTCTAATTGTGTGTTCCTTGCTTTGTTCACTTTTATTTGGCGGTTATGAAGACAGTCATTGTTAACAGCTTGGCATGTAGTGAGAGCAAAACATTTTTATATCTTTTGGTTATTGGGTAGTAGAAGCATCCGGTCTGGTTTTGTGGCATAACTGCATTTTGGGGAGCGGGGAGGGTTGTTGTTTAGTAGTCTTGATGTAATATTAGACTCAACAGATTTCATTCCTGGATCGTGCTAGAGTGCTAAAACAGGATGGTAACAGTGACAAAAACCTAAGATGACTGTTTATATTTTTTTAATATGTCAAAATGTGTCTTTGTGGGAAAAATATTACACAGTACATGTTTGCAACTTTGTGTCTTAAACTGTGTGATTTAATCATGGAATCATTTTCATCTTGAAAATTCAAGACCATTGAGTGTAACCATTGATTCAGCATTGCAAAAGTCACCACTAAGTGTCACATCCACATGGTCTTTTAAATACCTCCAGGGATGGCAATTCCACCACTTCCCTGGGCAGCCTGTTACAATGCTTGAAAACCRTTTTGGTGAAGATTTTTCCTAATATGCAATCTGACTTCAGGCCATTTCCTTTTGTGCAAGATGTTGTTACCAGGGAAAGTGGCCAATCCCCACCTTGCCACAACCWCTTACCTCAGGTRATTGTAGAGAGCAATAAGGTCTCCTGTGAGCCTCCTTCTCTCCAGGCTAAACACCCCCAGCTCCCTCAGGTGCTTCKCATCTGACTCGTGCTCCAGACCCTTCTCCAGCTCCATTGCCCTTCTCTGGACACACTGCAGCCTTTCACTCATCCAGGACCTCAGTGTCCTTGTAGTGAGGGGCCCAGGATTTGASGTGTGGCCTCAGCAGTGCCAGGTACAGGGGGACAGTTACTGCCCTGGTCCTGCAGACTGCACTATTGCTGATCCAGGCCAGGATGCCATTGGCCTTCTTGGGCACTCGCTGGCTCGTGTTCAGCTGCTGTTGACCAGCATGCCCAGATCCTTTTCCTCCAGGTATCTTTGCAGCCTCTTCCCCCAGCCTGTGGCACTGCAGTGGTTGTTGTGATCCAAGGGCAGGACCAAGCACTTGGCCTTGTTGAACCTCAGATCTCTGGCCCATCGATCCAGCCTGTCCACATCCCCCTTCAGAGCCTTCCTGCCCTCCAGCAGATCAGCACTCCCACCCAACTCAGTGTGTCTGCAAACTGACTGAGGGTGCCCTCGATCCCCTCATGCAGATCATTGACAAAGATATTTAACAGAATTGCTTCCTGAGCCCTGGGGAGCACCACTGGTGAGCGGCCACCGGCTGGTTGCAGTTCCAGTCACCAGTGGCTCCTGGGCCCGGCCATCCCAACAGTTTTATACTCATCCAGCAGAGCACCTGGCCAAGCCATGAGCAGGCAGTTTCTGCAGGAGAAGTTGTGGGAAGTTGTGCCAAACGCTGTACTGAAGTCCAGGTAGACTCATCCACAGTCTTTCACTCATCCACTAAGAAAGTAACCCAGTCTCAGATTAGGTCAGTCAAGCAGGACCTGCCTTACACAAATCCATGCTGGCTGGACCTCATCCCTGGTTGACCTGCATATGTCATGTCATGGCACTGCTCCATGACCTTCCCTGGCACAGAGGTCAGACTGACAAGCCTGTAGTTCCCTAGATCTTCCTCCTAGCCCTTCCTGTAGATGGGTGTTTGTGTGTTGTAACATGCTGTGAACTGGGACCTCCCCAGTAGCTGGAAATGCTAGTAAATGTTTGAAAGGGGCTCAGTGAGCACTTCTGCCAGCTYCCTCAGTTCCCKTGAGTGGATCCCATCCARCCCCATGGACTTGTGTGTGTCAGRTCACTGACCATTTTTGCTTGGATTGYGGAGGCTTCATTGTGCTCTGTCTTCAGGTCAGGGACTGGGTACATGGACACCAACTGATCTTCCCATTAAACACTGAGGCAAAGGGGAAGTAGAAGTACCTCGGTCTTTCCTTTATCTTGTGTCATTAAGGTTCTGCTTGCATCTATTTAAGGATGGAGATACTCCTTAGCCCTCCTTTTGTTGCTCAAATATTTGCAGAAACATTTTTGTTGTCTTTTAGGGCAGTAAGCAAATTAATTTCTTATTGGACTTTGGCTCTTCTAATTATTGCATAACCCCATAATCTAATAAAAGCATTGTTGATTATTATCTTTACTGCATTTTATAGTGTTGTGTTATGTTTACTCTATTAAAGTTAATGGAAATTAARTGTGCTAGCCTATGTAATACACAACGTGCAATTTTTGAGTGTCCAGGATTTTTAGTATCTTACTGTCGGTCTATTGTTTTTATCCATTTTCAGCAACAACACAGGGARAAGGTACACAGGGATTTTTWTTTATTTATTTATTTTTGTTCGACATTATTAGATGAATTGGTTTAAAGATATTTTTTTCAGTATATTACCTTGCAAATAAATGTCCAATATTCCAGTGTAATGAATGTTTTACAAATGTTTTACAGGCACCTGAATGGACAGAGGAGGACCTGAGCCAGCTGACAAGAAGTATGGTTAAGTTCCCAGGGGGGACCCCCGGTCGATGGGAAAAGATTGCTCACGAATTGGGTCGATCAGTGGCAGATGTGAGTTCACTCAGATTTGCATTGTGTAGAGGATGACAAACCAGAACAAGACAGGCAGTGTAGAAAGCAGACGTATATGGGGGCCGACATTGTCTTTTGAGAGAAGCCACAATCCTTTTAGGACCTGGAAGTGAACCATTAACTAACTATGCAAGAAGCAGATGCCAGCCAGTCTCTCCCTCCGCAATTAACAGCTGTAACTGATCCGCTGGATGCGGGATTCTGGTGCTCACAAACTTCAGCTACTGTAACCCAGTAACACAAAAACAATGCACTGCAGGTTTTGGAGCAACCTCCTTTCACTGCAAGTGAATGTTTGTGTGACTTGGTTAAAGATTACATTTCTGTTTCAAGCCAGTCCTTAAAAAAATGCATATGAGTAATGGTGTTTAGACAGGTGGTTTCCATTAATTAAACTGAAGTATCTTTACAAATTTTAAAACTAGTAATGTGTATGATACTATTTCAGTGCCTTTTTCAGGATTATAGCATGTTTCAAAATTATATTATGTAAAATAATTAATGTCCTYGTTAATTCATATTTTATAGTATTGTAGCAGATATCAAAGCAAGCTTGTACTTACGGGTTTTAAGTGTTATGATCTGAAAACCCTTAGGGGCTAGGCTGTAAAAGACTTTTCCTTTTCAAGCTATAGATCACTAGAACATGATGTAGTGTCTGCTGAGGACCATTTGAAAGCCCTTTCAGYTGACCCTATTTTATAGGCTTTGTAGGGGTTAATGAGAATAATGTTTAAATCTGTTCATGTGCATTTTGAGATGCATAGTTGTGCTATATTTATTATATTTCAGGAATTATCTTAAATAATGAGAAACAAAGCCACTGACTAGTGTGAAATATGATAGTCTTCTGGGAAATTTGTATACTTCTTAAATTTTTTTTCGTTGTTGATATAACCACAAAAAGATACTTTTAGAACTTTTTATCTTTTAATGCACCTATGCTGTTCTGATACATATAATAAAARATCAGTCATTTGCACTATTGTAATTTTAGAACAATGCATTATTTTCAAAATAGTGTATATAAGCAAGAAGTTACTAACCTGTTAATGAAATTAAATTAAGTTTCATAAGGTATATTGTGTTAAGTATTGTTAATTTTATTTTTTGAAGTCTTCATACTGCTGAACTGGAGTAATTTTATTAAAAAGGTGCTACATTTTACTGAGCAGATATTAACAGCAAAAATATTTCACATGTGTTGGTGGTAGTATATAGTGTTCATGGGAAAGATCTTTTGAGATTGCTTTGGAAAATCTGATTKTCTTGATACAGATAATACAGTCATGTGGAATGGTTCTGTATATGTCCATTACAAAACTAACACTATATTCATGGTGCCTTTTGCACCCACTGTCTGCTTTATTCCTTGACCTGGGTGTAAAAAAATTCTTTAAGAATCTTTCTCATGATATGTTTGGTTGTCATACTTGCACACATCCAGTACTGGAAAGAAAAAGACAAAGCTCACTTGTTTCACCATTAGATGAGAGGTCTTCAGCAACTTGCTCTTTTGTTTCAGTGAGTAGGAAAAATAAATGAAAGAAAGACTTGAATTTTTTTTTCCTAACATTTTATAATACAGGAAAYACTTTTTAAAAACTTGAGATCATTCTCTACTTCTTTCTTCTCCTGCAAAGCATCAAGAGCAGTAAGGCTTGGTTTTCCTTTSACACTTAGAGAACTATAATGGAAAGGATTGGTAAGGAACAGTGTGCTTATTTCCAAGTGATTTTATGCATTCAAACCTTACTTTATAATATATAAGCTAAATAGGTATTAATAAAAATAGCTCAGAGTAATCCCATCCAGAATGATGTCTCCATTGTTGCTTCTATCTCAAAGCTTTCTTCCTCAGCAAAAAAATCTCAAAACTTTTTAAAGAATGAACTGAAACAATTCCTATATACCAGAAAAGCATCCGTAAAATTCACTCCCTCTTACCACCCTAAAGAAATTATCTTTTGTTTTAAATTCTTTCTGTTTTAAAAGGAATTCCTACAACATCCAACTGTCTGAAGTGACTTGAGGAGAGTGTTCTTGACTGTTTTTAAMTTTTCAGCTTCATGGTGTTGTTTTACCTTGCTACATCCTTAGTTTGTGTCTAGTTTTCAGTATTGCACTTTAACATATGGTTTGATAGAGTCCAGATGAGATTAATAGGTTCCTAAAATGCCATCTACAAGGGAAGATGATGGAGTTCATGTTGTTGAACTAAAAAAACAAAAATGAACCAAGCATGTAAGTATTCAACTACATAGAAAGAAACTCTTAATGAAGAAGGGTCTTGTGCACTGTATTAGTTTAACAGGGCTAGAAGTTATTATCTTRTATTGAATCATAGGCTGCAGAGTTAGACACTGAAGGACAAAGAATCACAATGGAGAATGATAAAGCATTAATGATAATGCTGTGGAGTCTCTGTATATGCATGCCTTCAAGAACAGGTTAACAAACATCTGCAAGAAACATCAATATAGTGGTTCTGCCTGGGGTTAGGTCCTTCTCTTCATATGGTCTGTGATTACATTAGCAAGTGCAAGCTATCTGGGAGGAAAAGTGGAGGAAACAAATCCTTCTCTACAATTGGAAGCATGTGTGAATTCACTTTTAAAAATGTAGAATTAAAGCCAGATATTCACCATAGTTGGTCAGTAATCACTGCATATACCTTACCTTGACTTCTTAAATTCAGTAATTCCTAAAAAGTAGTCCTTCTGCTTTTTTCTACTACTATTCAAGCTCAAGGTGTTTTGTCGACATTTAAGTTTGTTAATTGTTATTTTCCAAAATGCAGCCCAAATAAGGATTACTAAATGAATGTCTACCAGATTCCCTGTCCACCCAATGTGACTGCTGGGAAAGTGCCAGCCAAAATCCAGCAATAAACAGCCACGTCCAGGCTGTAATGCCCCTGAGCTCGTTCAGCTCTATTTATGCTGCCTCATGTAAACCAGCATAAATGTCTTTGCAGCACATTCTGTGCTTTTCAACTCAGAGCTAGGGAAGCCTTGCAGCCTTGCTACAGACATACATGAGATGGGTTACTACTTTAACTTCTGTCATGTTAAATATAGGATATATTTATCTTGTCTTTCTTTGRAAAGACATCTTTTAACAGCCAATGAATAATCAACCTAAAATAGATGAGGTTAAGTTGTGCTCTCTTTATCAGTATGTTTAATTATTTAAATTGCTAATTGTCACTTTAATATGTGCATATAGGGAATTTAGCAATCTTTCCCTATAAAGATGGTTTTCAGATGGTTTAGTATAATGAAATCTTACTGCTTTCACAACTGAAAGCTTCTGCAGCTTTTTAAGTCATTTTTATTGCAATTGGCTGGTGTTGTAAATTAGGTTTTCAAGTATTTTGATTATGAAAGGGAAATGGAGTTCAGTTAACTCTAATCAGGATTCCTGCCTGCTGACCTGGTTACCTGTACCACTGCTCTCTGTCATCCTCCAAACATCTGTTCTTTGACCCATTTTCCTTGCTGAATTTGTTGCTCCAGGGTTAGTTCTCATTCCTGTCCGCCAATACTTAAGGAAATAATTGACCTTTTAAAACAAAATTAAAAAGTTACGTTTGAATTTCCTAAGCACTGTGAACACTCTACTACATAGTATAAATAATGAGTGGAGTTGCAATACTACTATTTCTGCTACTATTCTTTATATTGTTTGATTTGACAAATACTAAGTCTTATGAAGATTTAGAATAATGATTGTCAGCTTTTGCTGAATTTAAAAAYTGAGAAAAAGCACTTAGATGTGAAATTATAGAAGTATATTGTACTTGACAATACCAACCTTTATAGATAAAAAGTTTTAAAAAATATTTGCTGAAAGGCATAAATTAATTTCAGTAACTACAAAGGACGTTCAAATTGTAAAAATAACAGAGGAAGTAAAAGCTGTCTGGCATGCCAAACAGACTTTAATGTGATTATTAGGTACAGCTTTTTTAAATTAAAGGCAATGAGATCTCAGATTTCATACTTGTGAAGTAATATCATTCACTTGTCTTACAGGATTTAAACTGATTCTGTTTGCTCCTGCATTCACTAATCTCATGCATTTGTTTTGCAAAAACAGACTGATTGGGATTTGCTGCTTGTATAGARGAACACAAAGGTAGACAGCAAAACAATAGCCAGGTGGCAGGCATTCTGAATTATCATGAAACCTGAAAGCATAAAGTTTGTGGGGGTGGGTGCCTATTTTGTGATCTCTCTTGTATGCCCAAGCAACAGTTTCAAGCCTGTAAATCTGACTCTGTGAGTTCATATTCATTATACTTTATATGCCATTGTAAAATAGATTTCTTATTTTTGACAAATGCAAGCTCATTACTTTGCCAGCAAAAAARCATCTATATGAGAAATGGTCCATATGTAAAAGCTCATGAATTTATTAGGTCTTTTGCTTCTGGAGATTAACTGTTTTCCTAAGACTGTTTTACATTTCATTTTGTGTAGTGTGTCTGTGATAACTCAGTTGCAGTGCAATCCAGCTGTGGATATTCTGAAACATTCACCCTTAGCAGTTTGCATATATTTATGTAATCAATAATTCTCCAGTATTGAAGTATGAAGACTTAGATTGAGGTCCAAGAGAGGTTATGAATATCGAAGATGGGGTTTAGATCCTATATAGGTCATGTAGATCCCTCAGTCTGAGAGTGAAGTCTTCAAAACACCAGTCTAATTCCAGACGCACCAGAATGACTTTGTTGATGCTGGGAGGGAGGAAAAGGTGGTTGCTGTTCACACTACTGTCATTGTACAGTTTTATTCTGTGCACTCCTAGAGTTGCCCCTGCCATTTTTACAGGATTGAGCAGTACAATGCCTCTTGTAAACAACATAGAGTTTCATCTCATAAAGCATGACCAGAGCATTCTTTTCACTTACAGGAAAAAAAAAAATTTTACAGAAGGCAGTGGGACAGCAATTTTYGGTCCAAATAGATGGC